TAACTAGGGGTCTGTGCATAAAAAATAATAAAACAACTCTTTGTGGCTCTGCCATCCAAAGAGAGAAAGAAAGAAAAAAAGAAAAAGAAAAGAAAAGAAAGTATTTCATTGTTGCTTTGCAAAGACAATGAATTCTTCATGCACAGGTTCTCCCATGTCTCATTTATTTATATTAATTCCTCGATTAATATGTATCAATTTATTTATTTTAATTCCTTAATTAATTATGGCCCTGGCCAGATAGTTGTCTTAGACTGGGATGGTTGTTGCCAGAAACAGAACCTACTTAGGCTAGCAAAAATAAAGGGGCTTTAAAAAAATCCAGACTCCTGGAGACTGGAGGACTCCCTGAGATTTGCCCTGAGATCCTCCTCACACCATAAATCAAAACTAACCCCTGAGGTCATCTTGTAGCAAAATAACCAATTCTCTCACAAAATAATGTCTATCACCCACAAGTACTAGACTCCTTTAAAAGATCACCTACTTGAGACCAAATGGGCAATAATTACTTTAAGACAAAGTTGAAAATGTAAGGGAGGCAGGGAAACTAGATGAATGGAAACAGAACAACCTGAATGTAAATGAGAATGTTCATGTATTTTGAAGAAGGTAACTCATATTAACTTGATAGAAATTTTTTAAGGGGAACCTAAATTGCTATGTAAACCTTTGCCAAAAACACTTACAAATATTATTAAAACAAGAAAAAAGCAAATGGGACCCTGATTAAACAGACATAGGCATGCTTGAAGGAACCTAAGGACAGAAAAAGGAGCTGGGGCCTCATCAGGGACTAGAACGTGGAAGTAGACAGTGCGCCAGAATCAAGTCAACTACTCTGTCTACCTTTCTCTGTCTCTGAGTCTTTCTTCTCCCTGCATTTCTTGTGGCCCAGTGCTTTATTCTGCAGCACCCCACCAGCCATTCCATTGGTGGTGGTGGTGGGTGGTGGGCTGTAGGGTCAGTTCAGCTATCACATTGTTGTTGTGAAGTACCGTGGAGTTTGTTCCAACTCATAGTGACCCTGTAAATCTGAGGCTGCAATCTTTACGGGCACAGAACGCCTCATCTTTCTCCCACGGAACAGCTGGTAGTTTCGAACTGCCGACCTTGAGGTTAGCAGCTCGATTCATAACTACTACGCTACCAGAGCTCCTTTCAGCTATCACATTTGTTGTTGTTGTTAGGTGCCATCGAGTCGGTACTGACCCATAGCGACCTTATGTACCCCAGAAAGATCCTGGGCCAACCTCACTACTGTTGCCATACTTGAGTCCATTGATGCTACCACTTGGCCAATCCATCTCATTGGGGGCCTTCCTCTTTTTCTCTGCTATCACATTAGGGGTGAGTTAATTAAATGTTTGACCAAATATGACAGGCCAGTTTTTCACTTGATAATTTTGTGTGGCCCTTGAATGATGTTATAAATTTTGTCAGAAAAAAGTTTTCTCACCTGTGTTATATACACGCAAAACCTGATATTTCTTCTGTAGAGCATTTAGCCCAAATGTAGTAACTACTTATTATAACCATTTAGGAGTCCTGGTGTGGCGCATTGGGTTAATGAACCAGACTGCAAAGCTGTTTGAACTGCAAGGTCAGTGGTTCAAGCTCACCACTTGCTCCTTTAAAACCCTATACAGAGTCGCTATGGGACAGAATCGACTCGACAGCGGTTAACAACAACATAGCCATTTTACTTATTCTCTTCGTTGAATTGTCAGCTCCTCCAGGGCAGGGGCTTTTTGGCTTTTGATTACCATAGTACCCTCAGTTCTTCACTGGAGTCTGGATGTAGTCCACACTCAATACATTTGTTGTTGTTGGTGGTGCCATCAAGTCGGTACCGAATCATAGCGACCCTGTGCACAACAGAACGAAACACTGCCCGGTCCTGGGCCAGCCTCACAGTTGTTGCCACACTTGAGTCCATTGATGCTGCCACTTTACCAATCCATCTCGCTGGGGGTCTTCTTTATCTCTGACCCTCCACCTTACCAAACATGATGTTGTTGTGAAGTGCCGTCGAGTCGGTTCCGACCCATAGCGACCCTGTATAGGGTTTCTGAGGAGCAGCTGGTGAACTTGAACTGCCAACCTTGCAGTTCAAATGGCTTTGCAGTCTGGCGCATTAGCCCACAGCGCCACACCAAACATGATAGTAATGAATAAATTTTCAGAATGTTGGGTACTGAAAATTGTAGCCCGTGAACCTAATGCCAATTCCCAGAAACATTGTACCAGATTGGTAAATATTTTAAAGGGCAGCAAGAATGAGCAAACGTTGATTAGTTCTCATTTGGGGCCTGCTGTTTTAGCTTTAAGGAGCTTTGGTAGTGTAGTGGTTACGAGTTGGGCTGCTAACCTCAAGGTCAGCAGTTCGAAACTACCAGCCTTTCCATCAGAAGAAGATGAGGCTTTCTGCTCCCGTAAAGATTACAGCCTCAGAAACCCTATGCAGAGTCACTATGAGTCAGAACCGACTCCATGGCACACCACCACCACTACCACCTTAGCTTTGGAATCCTGGTGTGGTGCTGTGGGTTAATGCGCCAGCCTGCAGAGTCACTTTGAACTGTAAGGTCAATGGTTCAAGCTCACCAGTTGCTCCTCGGAAACCCTATACAGGGTAGCTATGGATCAGAACGGACTCAGTGGCACTTTGTACGTGTCTTTGGTCTAATGTTATTGGTTTTGAGGTAGTACTTTCAGGCCTCTTCTTCAACAGTAGAGTTTTTTTAGTCTGAGAATTAACACAAGATTACAAAATTGAGATTATGAATTGTTTTTCTATAAGGTTTGACCAAAAGTGTATTACCTTGACCTCTGTTTGTCTGTCTCTCTTCCTTTTATAGAGTTGCATTCTTTCCCTTACATATCGGGGACCACGTCTTCATTGAGGAAGATTGTATAGTCAACGCCGCTCAGATTGGTTCTTACGTTCACGTCGGGAAGAACTGTGTGATTGTGAGTATGGGGACCCTGGGCTGGCTAATCTGTCTTACTTCCCTCTCGGCCCCTCCCCTCCCCTCGATTCGTTGGGACCCTGCTTCTCTGACAGGCAGTGTAGGAGTCATCTCTAGTCTCCTGGAGCGAGGGTCTTTAGTGCTGGATTTGGAGCTTTCTCTAGCATTAATAATAGTGACCTTTTTTAGGGGAGCTTTGTAGGGTAAGCTCGAGCAAGGTGAGGCTTTCTGCTCCCACAAAGATTTAAAGCCTTGGAAACATTCTACAGGGTCGCTATGAGTCAGAACCAATTTGAGGACACCTAACAACCACTGCCTTAGCGGAGACTCTTCTATATGATAAACTCCTTCCTTGGATTATTTGACTGAATCCTTACCACCAAGGGTGCCAGATACATTATCCTTGTTTGCAGATGAGAAGACTGAGGCCATGAGATATTAAGGTACTTGTCAAGACTAGTAAATGGTCGAGCTGGGATTTGAACCCAGGGCAGTATGATTAACCATACCTTCCTGCTGCTTTACCTCAAGGCTCTTCCCGTCTAGTAAGTCTGATGAGGATCCTGTACCTCATGACTGATCTGGATATGTTCTTTTTGACAATGAATGCTATACCGTTCCTCTTCAATTTGTCATTCCCGGCATGGTAAACCATGTGGTTGTCAGATTCAAAATGGACAATACCAGTCCATTTCAGCTCACTAATGCCTAAGATACTGATGTTTATGCATTCCATTTCATTTTTAACAACTTCCAATTTTCCCAGATTCATACTTTGTGCATTCCATGTTCCAATTTTCAATGGATGTTTACAGCTGTTTCTCTTCATTTTAAGTTGTGCTCCATCAGTAATGAAGGTCCTGTGGGCTTTTCTCCCACGGGCTTTACTCGATTTGCGTCATCACAGTCAACTCTACTTTGAGGAGGCAGCTCTTCCCCAGTCGCATTTTGAGTGCCTTCCAACCTGAGGGGCTCATTTTCCGGCACTATATCTGACAGTGTTTCTCTGCTATTCATAAGGTTTCCAGTGACTAAATATTCGGAAGTAGTTCGTCACTCCTTTTTCCTAATCTGTCTTTGTCTGGGAGCTCATCTGAAACCTGTCTACCGTGGGTGATGCTGCTGGTATTTAAAATACCCGTGGCATAGCTTCCAGAATCACAGCAACTCACAAGCCACCACAGTACAACAAACTGACAGACGAGTGGTAGATATGACAGAGTTGTTGTTGTTGTCAAGTGCCATCGAGTCAATTCCGACCCATAGCGGCCCTGTATAGGGTTTCCAAGGAGCAGCTGGTGAGCTTGAACTGCTGACCTTGCAGTTCAAATGGCTTCTCAGTCTGGTGCTTTAACCCACAGCGCCACACCGGGAGTCCTGTGACAGAGTAGTAGGGTGCTAAAGGGTTTTCTTGGGTGTAATCTTTGCTAAAGCAGACTGCAGGCCTTTTTCCTGTGGAGTTGCTGGGTGGAGTCAAGCCCCAATCTTTTGGTTTGAACTGGTATATGAGCTGCTGACGTTCTTTTCTGCCGTCAGTCCCTAACCATGTTCTGACTGGTGATGTTGGCTTCCCCATCCTCATTTTCCACAGATGTTTTCTACTTAATTTCTGTGTATTCTGCTCAATGAGGTCCATGTGTATAATCACTGTTTATATGTCATTGGTCTTCACAAAATTCTGTCGTGGGACCTCCAGTGTTGTTTCTGTCACTAAGGAAATATTTTCCAACTGCTGCTTCTCTTTGTTTCCAACTTTAACATTCCAATCACCAGGAATTATCAATGAATCTTGGTTGCATGCTTGGGCCAATTTCAGACTGTAGAAGTTGGTAAGAATCTTCAATTTCTTCATCTTTGGTGTTAGTAGTTGGTGCATACATTTGGATACTAAAAGTGGCTTTCCTGGTGGACAGATCCTCTCACATACAGCATTGTGATTCAGCATCGGAGAAAGTCAAGTACAAGGTTTAGTCCAAACCTTCAGATAATAAGTGCTCACCTTTAAAGAACACATGAGCAAGTACGTTCATGTCCAAATGAATTGGTCAAGCCTTTTCAAGTTAGAATTGACAACAGTGCAGAAGGAACTGCATTGGCTATTATAAACCATCAGTAAAAGGTAGTTCCTATTGTCATGTAAAGATGGCTCTAGGCACCCAATGAGGTCTCAAGAATTTGTCTCCATCCCTTTTCTGCTTTCCTCTGGGAAGATCACACTCAGGCATGATTGTGATCATGTGTTTCTTCTGGATCTTCTATCCTCTGGAAACCCCAGTGGAAAGAGCTGCTTTATCCCATAGTTGCAGCAGTAACCCGGAGGTTGAGATTCATCCAACTGATTAGGCTTATGTTGACTCCCTAAATCAATCACTGTGACCAGACCTGTGTGTTGTAGTGCAGGATGCGGGGTGAAGTCCATGGATTAAGATGGGGATAGAGGTGGCTCCAAAGGAAAATATAGGTTCTAGTATCAGAAGAATATCCTGATATAGGATCAGCATAGGATCACTATGAACCGATGCGATGGCACTTAACAACAACAACAAAAAAGAAAATTAAACAGAACTCTTGGAAAGCCAAAATTTACATAGTCTGTAATGTCTAGGAGAACCTGAACTGCCTTATAGCATACAACTTCTTCTATATACAACAAAATACATATATTTGTGAGTGTGTGTACACGCATACACACACCTCTGTCTCTCCTTCTGGTCAGGGAATTGTGACCAAGCTTCTCGTCACATTCTCTGGCTATTATATTCTGAATGGAGAAAATACAAAATAGCCTTCCACCCAACAGTTGTTGTTAAATGCTGAGTCAGTTCTGACTCATAGCAACCCCGGTATAGGGTTTCTAATCTTTGTGGGGGCAAAAAGCCTAATTTTTCTCCCTCAGAGTTGCTGGTAGGCTCAAACCACTGACATTGTAGTTAGTAGTCCACTGCTTATCCTACACAGCCACTGTACTCCACACAACAGACTAGACAACTTGACTTCCAATTCCTGATCTATTTCTTATTAACAACATTAAAACATGTTTTAAATTAATTCTGTTCTTGTTCTTGATAATATACATGGTGAAACATTCACCAAATGATCATGTACAATTCAGTGACACTGATTGCATTTCTATTAATACCATTTTAATTTCAGGGGCGCCGATGTGTGTTGAAAGACTGTTGCAAAATTCTTGACAACACAGTGTTACCCCCAGAAACTGTGGTCCCACCATTCACCGTCTTCTCTGGCTGCCCAGGTAACTTTGAGTGTTGAGTATTTTTATTTTAACTTCTTAAAAACTCAAGTTTATTTTTTCATCACAAAAGTAATCCATGACTCTGTCTCTAGTACTATGTTGATATAGCTAAATAAAACAGTCTCTTGCTGAAAAGTGCCTATAAATGTTATATAAAATAGAACAAACAAGTTTTAAAAATGCATAATTGGGGTCACCATACAGTAAGACAGTTTTTAAGGGTGAAAAACAAAAGAGAGTAAATTCACCCAAGTTGTAAGCATGCCTGGGGTTAGTGCTCTGGTGGCAGGGAGAGTTCACTTTGGGGCCACACATGGCAGAAAGCTGAACTGAGCTACAGCCTGCAGCCCTGGAGACCCCCAGAAGATCTAATGTAGACCAGATCTGCCCACCAGCACAAGGAACATACAAAGATGTGATCTCTTTTGGCTTCGAGTCTGGTTGGAAAAAGAAAAAGTCTCTGAGAATTCTAGCTGTAGACTTACTCTCACCCTGGTGGTGGAAAGTCCAAGTTGAAAAGTGAGCATGCCACATGGTCAGAGACTAATTGTCCTCTGGGATTCCTGACAGAAGCAAATGCCGTGCCCTCTACCTTGCCAACACAGTGGCCACACATAACCCGCCCACCTCTCCTGCTTCAAATGAGAAAACATCTGAGGAAACAAGAGGAGTGAATGTTCATCCCAGAAAACTTGGAAAATCTTAAAAGCAGAAGGAAAAAAAAAAAAAATCCCACATTCTCCCTGCCCAACCCAGGATTCCCACTGCTAGAGTGTTGCTCACTTTCCATAACGGTCTCTTCGACGTGCTGTTTGACACAAGTGAAATCAAGTAACATGCGCAGATCCACAGTCACACATTGACACGTGGAGGATGATGGGAAGAGAGAGAGTTGCTAGATTTGATGATCATCTGCCACTGAGTGGTTTAATTGTTTTTCTAATGAAAAAATCCAATCACTCAGATCGCTGAATTTGAGTTGCAAAGATGTGCAAACGTCCTGACTCACATTCTTTAGGGAGGAAATTGGCATTGTGCTGTGTCATGCTTCTCTGCTTTCACAGAGAGGGAGAGACTATTCAGTAGTTCTCCTCCCTGCTGTTTATTGTTGAGGTTCTGTGCTATCAAATCACATTTATTTAGTGCCCCTACAAGATGGAGTCCTGCTGTGGCGCTGTGGGTTAATGCACTGGACTGAAAAGTCAGTTTGATCTGCAAGGTCGGTGGTTCAAGCTCACTCGTGGTTCCTGGGAAACCCGATACAGGATCGCTATGGGTCAGAACTGACTCAGCGGCTCATATGACAGAGTAGTACTGCCCCTTAGGGCTTTCAAGCCTTTCCATTTTGATGGGAGCAGGTCTTTGCCTCCATGAAGCAGTTTGTGTGTTCAAATCACCAACCTTTTAGTTAGCAATCAAGCACTTAATCACTGTGCCACCAGGGCCTCTAGTCGTCCCTTATGGAATTCTATGTCTGGAGAAGTTTAGCTGTTCTTAGCAAGTGCTGGACCACAACAGCCTCCCTGACTGATTTCAGTGATTGTCAGACAAGCGTTAGGATATTCCAGAGAAATAGCTTCGTGTTCTTCTAAAAACGTGTTCGAGTTCATTAGAACCAGTGCTGATTGATCATTGGTGGCAGAAGACAGGGATGCACTGCTTGTTTTTTCAATGCAAATAATCACTGGGAGGTTTCGATGGAGCATTCAAGCTGCATGCAAGAGGCAATAGGCCTAGAGAGGCTGGGATGTCAGAGTGGAAATGAGAAACATGTGACCCTATTTTCTAGTCTCTTTTGTTCCCTATTGCCCATGTTTATGGTCTATATTTTAGAGGTAAGGATACTGTTGTTGGCAATCTCCATCTTTTACTACAGAGACATAGGTATGCAGGAAAACTGGCACACATTTGGGGAGGGCAATACAGCATGAATCTGAGTGGGGAAACAAGATGAAATCAAGCTCTTCTGTCCGGAAAGAATCTGGGTCAGGAGCCAAAACCTCAGATGTGTTCAGGAGCCAGGCAGACAATGTGAGTAAGATGATGTAGCTGTAGCAGATGTCTAAGAATGGAAGAAGCTAAACATCTGAGTTTTTACGTGAAATCTCAGAGCTTTTAAATTTTGGCTACTAATTTTTTAAAACATGTTAAATGCAGAGCAAGCCCAATACATGTTTGCAGGTTTAGCACGGGCAGTCAATTTGCAAAGGGTACGTATGAGAATTTTGTGGTTTTTACTCTTTTCCCTGTCCTATCATGTGCTGTAGTCCTGGAGTGGCGCTGTAGGATAAGCACTGGATTGCTAACCGCAAGGTCAGTGGTTCAAACCTACCTCCCAGTTGTTGGAAACCTTATTCCAACAATGTTACAAGTTGAAATCGACTCGATGGCACTTAACAACAGCAACAACAACATGTGTTGTGTGTATGTAGATGAACATATAGGGGTGTGTTGTTGTTACTGTTAAGTGCTGTTGAGTCACTTCCAACCCAGGACGACCTTGTATAGGGTTTCCGAGGAGCGGCTGGTATGCTTGAATTGCATTTCAAATGACTTTGCAGTCCAGCACATTAACCTACAGCACCACACCAGGACTCCTACGTTGTTGTTGTTAAGTGTCGTCGAGTCGGTTCTGACCCATAGCGACCCTGAACAGGGTTTCCGAGGCCGTAAATCTTTACGGGAGCAGAAAGCCTCATCTTTCTCCCGCGGAGCAGCTGGTAGTTTCGAACTGCTGACCTTGCGGTTCGCAGCCCGATTCATAACCACTATGCTACCAGAGCTCCTTAGGACTCCTATGTTGTTGTTAAGTGTTGTCGAGTCGGTTCTGACCCATAGCGACCCTGAACAGGGTTTCCGAGGCCGTAAATCTTTACGGGAGCAGAAAGCCTCATCTTTCTCCCGCGGAGCAGCTGGTAGTTTCGAACTGCTGACCTTGCGGTTCGCAGCCCGATTCATAACCACTATGCTACCAGAGCTCCTTAGGACTCCTATAGGGGTGTATGTATATATATGTAATGTAGTTGAAACTGCTGATACTTAAACAATTACATTGTCTCTGTTGTTGTTGTTATTTGTTGTCAAGTCATTTCTGCCTCATAGCGACTTTATATAAGGTTTCCAAGGAGTGGCTGGTGGGCTTGAACCGCTACCCTTTCAGTTAGCAGCTCTGTGCTTATTCTACAGTGCCACACTAGAACTCCCCCATGCTCTAGACTACATTCTAAATGGTTCGGAAACTTGCTTTCTTCATTAAACAACACACGTTGGACAACTTATCAGTGTGTCCATTGTTTTTGATGGCTCTTTTTTTTTTGCGAGGTGAAGACCATTACTATGATTTATAGAGAGCAAACAGGAAAAATTGATTCTCAAAAGGAGACTCACTTGCCTTCCCCACTTTAACCATGACCTTTCTTAGATCGGTGGCAGCTCTGTTGTTTGGGTGAAATGTTGGGATCACCTCACTGCTGCCTCTGGCTCCCACACACAGCTCTGCCACTGGGCTGCACTGGCCTCTGTGGCCATGCTCCCGGGCCTGTCTTGTCACCATGCTGCCCAGTGGGGGCGGCATGCAACCCCTGCATAGGACAGACTCAGGCCTTTCTGGTCCTACACAAGCAAGTGCTGTAGCTTGTTTAGCCCATTGGCAGGCCTGCTGCCCGGAGGCGTCTGACTGCCCTACTATAGGAAAACGCTGTCCAGGGCACGTTGGCCTCTGCCCTACATGGACAGGTATTAGAGTTCTTTTTTAAGTTTTATTGTGAATTATGTGATAGTTTACATGGGAGAACATTAGCTTTACAGTCATCCTATTGTTTATATCATTTCATTGCCATGGTTACAATCCCCCAGAGGGTGAACCCCACAAGCCTGCCCGCCCTTCAGTTGTCAGCACACAGCCCCTCTCCCTCTCTGGGTCTAGAGTCCCCAGCTGCTCCATCTCTCCATGTCATCTCTCCGCCTCCATCTCTGGCATCACTGCTTCTCTGGGTAGGGTCCTGCACTGCGCTCTTCTCCCTTGATGGTCCCAGGGACCGCCGTAGAGCTCTTTTAGCTTCATCTGCAAGCCTCCAGCCTGAAGGCACTCAGCTCTCACTCCGTGGGCTAGGAAGCCCACTGCAGTGACCTTGCTCTGTGAGTTGGCAGATTCACCACCACTGTCTCTTGCAATCTTGCGTCATCTGTAGTGTTAGGTGTCTTCAGGGTCTAGGAGGTTCTTAGTGCAGGCACCCAAGGTCTGAAGAACATGCTCCATTACAGACTTTTCTCTGTTTTTCAGACTTTTCTTGATGGTAGTGAGGTCCCCTTGATCTTCTGTGGGATTGACCCTCATCTAAGCATACTCCTTACCAATTTCAAGCAAGTCATGGTTCTCCCAGCAGGACAACAAACTGACCAGTGCCCTTTGTAGGACCTAAGTAACTCAATATGCATTTGTTGCTGTTAA